GCCAGAGCGAGCCTGCCGCCGCCGGGCCAGGCCACAGCCTGCAGCGGAGCCCAGGAGAATCAGCGCCATGGCGGAACAGACCTACTCGTGGTGAGTGTGGGGCTCCGGGAGGCTGGGGCACGGCGAGGTGGGGGTCGGGACGCCGGCGTAGCCCGCCGGGGTAGAAGGGAGGAAGATGAACAGGTGCGTGCTGGTGGGGCCGCGGGTTGGGGGGTGCACGCCCCCCTCTCTCCCACTGGAGGGGGGTGGCTAGCGCTCCGGGAAGGCATTGAGCGGCCGGGAACCGGCGTCTGAGAAGGGAGATGGAGGCAGCGGTGGATGTCATTTGGCTAAGGGAGGAGCAGGTGATAGATGGAGAAGGGGAGCATGACCCTGGGGCGGGAATCCTGCGGAGGAGAAGTTGAATCCGACGAGCTTCCCCGGAACCGACTTGTAGGGATGACTCTCAAGCAGAAGGAATCGAACGGGTGGAAAGAGGCGGGCCAGGGCAAAGGTGGGTCACTGGGCTTGGAGGAAACTCTGATGAGAACAGGTGAACGAGGCAGAACTTTCAAGAGTGAGAAGTGGAGCAGCCGCCTTAGCGGTGGGACTGCTACTTAACTCTGGGATAGGCAGCTAAGGGAGAGTTGGTAAGGTGGGCCGAGGCCCAGGAGTGAGGGAAGGAAAATCGCGGAGGGAGAGAGTCTTGGGAGCTATGGAGGTGAGTCACTGGTGAAGAGGTTAGAAGAGGAACCTGTTTGGATGACCAGATTCTGGAGAGGAAGTCGTTGGTGACAGTAGGGTATGGGCAGAATCTTTGTAAGGGTTGGTACAGTGTTTTTAAGAATTTGAAGTGTGCTGGTGTCCTGGGCTAAGTATGGAGATGGAGGATCTGCAAATTATGTTCATTTCTGTGAGATTTTTAAAGTTATTAAGTATCTCATAAAGGACTGAGAAGCAAGCATACCCTGTAATTTATGGTGTGACAGCTTACTGTGCAAAGGAGGGAGTGTTAAGGTTTGGGGAAAGGGGGATGAAAGACTCCCTCTTTGGCATGTAGAGGAGTAATATTTGCAGGAGGGGTTGAAGGAGTGATGAGGGTATCCATGAAGAGTGGAAATTGGATAGTGGAGAGGAAGCAATGGCTAGAGGGTGAAGAAACAAGAAATGGGATAATGTATTTGTGGGTGTGGGGATGAGGAATCTGCTTGCAGTTTAGAGAGGTTATTTGAAGATGGTTTGCTTTACTTTTGTTGTTGTTGTTGTTGCATTTTGACCGTGGCTGGGTTTGAACCCACCACTCTTGGTATATGGGGCCAGTGCCCTACTCACTGAGCCACAGGCACCACCCTAGATGGTTTGCTTCTTGAAGCAAACATGGTTTGGGACAGAACTATCAATGTTCCTGTCTTAGAAAGCTTTATAGAATGGTAAGAACATGGTGTTTGGAGTTGGAAGACTTGGTTTGAAAGTCCACTTCACCACTAATTTGCCTTACAACTGGATGTGATAATGAGGTTTTCATTCCTTTCTGCTTATTTATAAAATAGAGGCATTACTTCTTCACATGCTGTAAGGATTACCTTTATAAAGCACTTGGCAAACTGTGAAGTACCATATTTTACTACAATTATTATAATCAGGGAAATGTCAAAGAAATCGGTAGTGTTTGAAAATAAAGAATACTTTTAGGTAGAAGGCTCGAATAGATGGTTTGTAGTATTTGAAGTTATAAGAAGTTGAAAACTCATCGTGTCTTCCCATTACTATATGGTACTATATGTACCTTTCCAGGAGGTACATACAGTCTCAAGAAGTAGGTACTGAGAGATTGAGAGAAATTTAACTCTAAAGGAAGAATTAATATCTTGGTGAACAAGGGCTTTCAGAAGGCATTCAAACTAATTTGATAGTTTTGAATCACTATTAAGAGACAGTGAGCTGCCCCTCAGTAGCAGGTGCCATGGAACACAAGATTATAATTTGAACTTTCTTAGAGAGTAAGAAATGAAGGTAAAGGTGATCCTGTCATGCATTGTGGTAATTCATCTTGAACTTATAGTCTGGCCCAGCTGAGAGTCCTTGCTGTTTTTATGGTGCCACACAGAGGCTATCCATAGAAAACAGTGGTCAAGAAATGGGGAATCGGCCGGCCGGGCGTGGTGGCTCACACCTGTAATCCTAGCCCTCTGGGAAGCCGAGGCAGGGTGGGTGAATTGCCCTAAGCTCACAGGTTCGAGACCAGCCTCATCCAGAGCGAGACCTCATCTCTAAAAATAGCTGGGTATTGTGGCTGGGGCCTGTAATCCCAGCTACCCAGAGACTGACGCAAGAGAATCACTTGAGCCCAGGAGTTTGAGGTTGCTGTGAGCTATGATGCCACGATACCCTACCTAAGGTGACAAAGTGAAATTCTGTCTCAAAGAAAGAAAGAAATGGGGAATATGAGTGATGTTAGTCAGCTCTGCAAGTGCAGGGGCAATTACTGTGAAGCTTGACAGTTTTTAAGATTCCTTAAAATCCCAGCTCTCTTTATATGCTTTACAGGCAAAGAAGTTCCTTGAAATCATGATGCTTATTAGCCCCTTATTTTTAAGATGGAGAAAGTTTTTACATTATCTTGAGTGAGGGTGGTATATCAGGGCAGGGGATTGGGAAACCAGACAGCTTCCTAGTTCTTCTGGAGTCAACTGGGTCATAATGTGAATAGTTCACATTGCATTTCATATATGCTCATTTAATTCTCCAAAGTCCTTGGGATAGGTGCTATTTTCCTATTTTTTAGAGGAGGAAACTCAGGCTCAGGACACCAAGTGATGTGTCTAAAGTATTTCACCTGCAATATTTTCTTTTGTTTGACATGAATTCTCTTATTTTACTCCTTTTCATTGAAATGCAAATATGGAAAAGGTATTCCAAAAGATTTTTGGATTATCTGTCATTTTGTAGTATCTTTGTCACTCTTTCCTTGGTTTGTACAAAGAAGTTGCTATTTTTTTAAAGACAGGCTTACACTTTATTTATTTGGATGTGACCTTTAGGAAAAATCAACCTGTGGTGACTACTGGGGCACTATGTATTTGTCTGAGTATAGAGCTGATGAAGAATGCAGAGGGATATGCATGTAGGATCTTTTAGGATTTTCACATAATACACACAAATTATAAAACAAGATTGGTCATGAGTTGACAGTTACTCATCACTGAGTACATGGTAGTTTTTAATTCTTTTGAGTTTTACATGTTCAAAATTTTCGTAATAAAAAGTATTTTTTTAAAAAAACCCTTATCAGGTGGCGTCCATAGCTCCGTGGGTAGGGCTTCGGCCACATACTCAGAGGCTGGCTGTTCAAACCTGGCCTGGGCCAGCTAAAAAACCCTTATGTACAAATTCATGGCATTCTCTGATTTCTTTTGCTCGCTCTCTTCCTAGCAGATTCTATCAAAATCCTGCTACTGAAGGGTTCACTCAACTTCCACTTAGCTGTGAAGCATTTTCTGACCCAATCTAAAAGTGATCTTTTTAATATTTGTAGTTCTGTCTGTATCACTCCTTTTCTTTTATAAATATCTAGTCTAGCTAGATTGAAAAGTCTCTGAGAGTAAGGACCAATATAACAGTAACCTTTGTTCTCTTCCCTGTGCCTTGCACATAGTCCCTGCTTAATAAATCTTGAGTGATTGAATATAATAGTAAACTTTCAGGGAGGTTCTGCCTTTGTTGAGAGAATATTAAGCATGAGGAGGAAGCTACTGAAGGATAAACGTTTATAATCTGTGCGCTTACACGACATCTTTTTGTAAGTTGGTCTGCTGATGTTCCAGGGCTGTGAGAATGCGAATACCATCCCTTATTAAAGTTTTAAATGAAAGTGAGAGAAGAAATTAAAATAATTGTAACACCAGATTCTTTTTTCTTTTCTTTTTGAGACAGAGCCTCAAGCTGTCACCCTGGGTAGAATGTGGTGGTGTCACAGCTCACAGCAACATCCAACTCCTGGGCTTAAGCGATTCTCAGTCTCCCAAGTAGCTGAGGGAGCACCACAACGCCTGGCTATTTTTTTTTTTGGTTGTAGTTGTCATTGTTGTTTGACAGGGATGGGACTGGATTCGAACCCGCCAGCTCTGTTGTATGTGGCTGGCGTCTTAGCTGCTTGAGCTACAGGCGCCAAGCCCAGATTCTTTATTATGACTTACCCACAAGATTCTGCTTATATCCTTTTTACTCATACTTTTACTGAAGAAGTAAAAGAATGCATGTGAAAATACACCATGAAGGTGCAAACTAGACTTTTATTAATTTGAGAAAAACCCTGCTCACTGTGTGTTTATGAGCAGTCCTGAGAGAATCTGGAGCTCCTGTTGAAGCCAGTGCAGTACTTCTATGTAATTGCACTTGGACCCTGTCCTGTTAAAAATGATTTATATTAGGGTTAATGTTGATGTATAGAAAAGGAGGTC